GGAGACGGCTTCTTGGGGTCTTCGTGGGGCTGCCTGGGGCCCCCCAGGGGCCTCCTGCAAGCTTCTTTGGGGCCCCTCGGGGTCCTCACGGGTCCTCTTGGGGGCCCCTTGGGGACCCTTGGGCAGTCTTAGGGGACTCTTGGCCCGTCTGACGCCTCTGGAGGCTGCCTCAGGGGCCATTCTAGGCCGCGTTCGCGCCCTCTTGGAGCGGACCCCGGCCGTCTTGGGGCCCTCTTGAGGCCCCCTTGGGTAACCTTTGGGTGCTTTCGTGTCGACTTGTGGCTCTCTTGGGGGGGCTCCTTTGATTGTTTTGGAGCTATCGTGAAGGCCTCTCGGAGGCTTCTTGGGCCACCTTGGGCGGTCGGGATCCCGAACATGTAGCAACCGGGCACCTAACGCACATCACGTTTTTGTTGCCTCCTCGGGCTCCCCAGGAGGGCCTTTCGGAGATCGCTTGGGCCGTTTCGGGGGCTTCTTGGTCTGCCTCGAGGGTGTCTTGTGAGCCTCTTGAGCCGTCTTGGGCCATCTCGGCGTCATCTTGGCTGCTCTGAACGGCGTCCTGGAGTCCATGCGGCTCCCAAAAAGGCCTCAACACATATTCACAGGACCCCAAGACGGCCTACGAGGTCTCCAAGAGGCTTTCCAAGAGCGCCCGATGAGTCCAACACTATGTATGTTCCTTAGGTGTTTGCAGGATTTTGAGGTTGCGGCATGTTTGGGTGCCCGACCGCCCACGAGAGCTCAGGAGGCCTCTGGACCGTCTTGTTGCTCTCGTGGAGCTGTTCAACGCTGTCTTGGGGTTCTCTTTGAGAGCCCCTTGGGCGATCTTTGGGTCCTCTTGGGCCGACTTGGGGCCCTCTTGGAGGCCTCGTGGGCCGTCTTGGAGCTATCTTGGAGGCCTCTGGGAAACCTCTCGGGCCGTCTTGGGTCTTGGGTATTCGTAAGCCTGAACAGGCGAGAATCTCAACATCCGTCAACCACGCACGGAATATCAATGAGTTTGGTCCCTTTCGGGCTCTCCAGGAAGGCTTCTTGGAGCTCTCTCGGGCAGTCTTGGCGGCCTCTCGGGCCGTCTTGAGGCCCTCTTGTGCTATCTTGAGCCGTCTTGAGCCTCTCTCGACAGGCTCTTGGGCTCTCTTGGGTTGGTCGAGCCGCTTTGTTGTCGTCTTGGCTGTCTTGGGAGCCGTCTCGGAGGCCCTCTTGGCCATCTGGAGGCCGGCCAGACCGCCAGACAGCAATTTCGGAAGGGACGCTTTTTGAGGGGTGCGTGCGTCGAGGGGGGGCCTTACAACTTTGCAGGGCCACCCTAACAACACGCACGCATGACGGAAAGAGCGCCAGCGAGAGAAGTTCTGTATAGGGCGTTAGCCCCACTGGTGGGCTGTCGGGGGGGGGGGCGTGGCGGAGGAGAATTTGACGGAAAGGGCGCTAGCGAGAGAAGTTCTGCATGGGGCTTTAGCCCCAATGGGGGGGGGGGTCTGGGGGGGGGGTCTGGACTGGGCCTTTTTTCTAACACGCCCTCCGCGGGCCATGCTGGCGACTTTTTCGGCCCAGGACGGTCAAACCATTGATTTCCCAAAGGCTTTTTGAAGATTTTGGGGTTCCGCCTTTTTCGGATTGAAAGCGGCCATACACGGCCCTGGGGGCCTCCGAGGTCGCCCCCAAACCGCCTCAAGACGGCCCAGGAGAGTCTCAAGACGAGCCAGCGAGGGCCCCACAGACTCCCAAGAGCCTCCCAGGAGAGCCCCGAGAGAGCCACAGGATGCTCACAAGAGGGCCCCGAGAGCGCCCCAAGCCGGCCCAAGCCCCCCAAGATGGCCTTCACGAGGATTTCCAAGAGGGACTGGAGGTAAAAGCCATTGATTTCCCCAAGGTTTTTTGAGGATTTTGGGCTTCCCGCCTTTTTCGGATTGAAAGCGGCCACACGGCCCTGGGGGCCTCCGAGGTCGCCCCCAAACCTTCCCAGAGGCTCCCAAAAGGTCCTAGACCGCCTCAAGACGGCCCAGGAGAGTCCCAAGACGAGCCAACGAGGGCCCCACAGAGGCCCAAGAGCCTCCCAGGAGAGCCCCAAGAGAGCCACAGGAGGCTCACAAGAGGGCCCCGAGAGCGCCCCAAGCGGGCCCAAGCCCCCCAAGACGGTCCAAGAGGACCTCCAAATGGCCCAAAAGACCTCCAATAGGCCTCCAAGAGGCATTCTGAGATGCCTCCAAGAGCCTCTTACGAGGCCCCACCAGGGCGAACCGTGCCGTCAAACGCTCTGACCGCCAAGGCTCCTCGGAGCGGACGGTGACATACCAACTCCGATCACCACGGCGGCCGTCCTACCGTGACTCGCATTCCAGTTTGCTCCAAGAAGCATGCATGGCAACCCCTAAGTCCACATCGCTGCCACGCAAACGGCCGCCGAAGCCCCGAGACCGTGTGAAATGTCCGCTCCACCACGGACCCGCTCTTTCCGTTCCCGTGCTGGCCCAGGTTCTAACACGCCCCAGCGTGCCCAAGGCACGGGGGCGGATTCTGTGATCAATTTGCCTTTACATACCTTGCCTCTTGCATGCGTTTCCGATCGTTTCTTTTTTGGTTTTCTGTGCACGCCTATTGCGCGTCAACGCTTCGGGTTCCAAACACCTTGCTGGCCCAGGTTCTAACGCGCCCACTCCGTGCAGGTGCGGTGGCTGATGCCGGGGGCCAGCCCAGCGACTCTGTTCGAGCGCTTCGAGAGCACCTCCGTGCGCCAGGGGCCCGCAGCACCGACGAAGCGCGGCAAGTCGAAGGGGCGAGCACGCCAGCGCGTGCCCGTGCTCGTTTGTAGGCTCAGTATCTTTCGACCGACCCCCATCCCCATCCTCATAGACCCCCACCGAATCACCACCCCAGTTGGGGATACACCCCTCGAAACCCCGAAGGGAACGGCCCATGTCTCCATCTGGGGGGCTGAATCGGCCAGTGGGGGGCCGCGCCGCTGGGGATGGGGATCGGTTGAGCGATACCCATAGGCTGATTCGTCCGACTCCGTTTCTCTCGTGGCGCCTGCGTTGCTGGCGTGCGACCCTTCTCGTTTTCCCTCTTGCCCGCCTCCCGCCCGGTCTCCCCCGAGAGTCCCAGATGCCCAGTCCTTCTGCGCCCTTTGTCGAGTCGGATCGCTCCGTGGGGCCCGCCGAGCCCTGGACCCCACCTTTCGAGCGATTTGTCAGGAGGGGAAAAAACACACAGACACAATTAATCGTCGACCCCCAGGAAAGTGCAGGAAAACATGGGAAGTGGGGGGGAAGAAAAAAAAACAGAAAATATAGGAAATATGGGGAATCCTTTTATTTGTGGGCATTTATTTGTGTGTCCCATGGCCCCTTCAATTTTTCTCGAGCCGGCCGATCGGTTCTTTTCGGGCGGGGGCGCCTGGCGCGAGCGGACTGAGACGCCAGGATCCTGGCCTCTCCTGGTCGTCCGCCTCTCCTCCTTCGATGGCGCCCTCGAGGGCGCGAAGGTGTTCGCGCCTCTCGCGCTTCGCGGTTTGGCTCCGACTCCTCCTCCTCCTCTCCCCTTGGGAGGCGGCGCGAGAGCGCGAGGTTATTCGCACTTCGCGCTTCGCGCAGCGCGAAGCGCGAAGTTGGGAGCCCTTGTTGTCGCCAAGCTGTTTCGGGCGGAAGCGCCCGGCTCGAGTAGATTGAGACGCCATTGGGCGTGGCTTGATGTGGGGTCATACATGGGGGGGTCAGAAAGTGCCCCCCTTCGGGCCCCTCCGGAGCCCCGAGGGGGCTCGTTTAGGAACCGCTGGGCTACCTCTTCGGACCACCCTCGCCACCCCCCCGTTTGTGACCACCCCCATTACGGTAGGTTCGCGTCGTGTCGACCAGCGGCGACCCCGCCGCCGACGTTCAAGGTTGAACGCCGCGGGCGACCCAGAATCGGTCGATGTTGAACATTTGGACGTTGCGGCAGCGGCCGATCGTTCAAGGTTGAACGATCCAGCGCGGTGTCAGAAACCAACCAGAACCTGCCGTACGCAACGCCCATCGCCAGGATCCCAGCCCCTCCTCGTCGTCCGCCCCTCCGCCTCGCGCGGTGCCGCCGCAGAGGACGGAGTACGTCTCGCTGGCGGAGAGGGAGCTGGGCCTGGGCGGTGCCGGGGGCGCGGCGGCGTCGCAGGAGCCCCGCTCCGTCCCGCGCCGTGCGCCCCCCAGCTCCTGCCTCCCTCTCCTCCTCCTGCCTGCTCCTCCTCCCTCCTCCTCCTCCTCCTTCTCCTCCTCCTCCTCCTCCTCCTCCTCCTCCTCCTCCTCGCCTCCTCCCCTTCCTTTTCTCCTCCTTTTCCTCCTCCTCCTGCCTCCTCCTCCCCCTATCCTCCCTCCTCCTCCTCCTTCTCCTCCTCTTCCTTGTCTTCCCCCTCCGACTCCTCCTCCTCCTCCTCATCCGCATCCTTCTCCTCCTCTTTCTCGTCCTCATCTTCTATGTGTGCCAGTTGACGTCCTAGTTCCAGCAGGAGCGCCAGAATGGCCTTTGATGGGGTTACGGCCTCCTGCGAGACCGATAACGGCCCGGCCCGCCCTGGCGGGACGTTTCCGCGACTCGTTCGTTCGTTCCTCCTATTCCTGGAGCTCTGGAGGCATCAGTCAACTGGCGTTGCCCAGACTTCCAGCTGCACGAGCTCGCACGGGGCTCTGGGGGAGAAGGAGGGGGTCACCAGCCCGTCCAGAGATGATTCTTGGGCGAGGTCTCGTGGGAGTGGCTGGGACAGACACATGTGGGGCACTGGCCGCACCGAAGCTGACGGCAGCCCGAGCGTGTGAAAGAGTAGCGTGGGAAGGAGGAGGACGCGGCGGAAGACCTGGATGACGAACAAGGAGCAGAGCGACGACGAAAACAATGACTGGGAGGGGAAGGAGGGCGACGCCGAGGACAATACCTGGGAGGAGAAGGAGGACATTTTGAGTATTTTACTGGGCCAGTGTAGACGTTTTGCAAGGTACGGCAGCGTTTGCAGGATCATTTCAAGTATTACGTCGCGTTGCAGGATGCTGCAGGGTATTGCAGTGGGTCTGGTCTGCAGGGTATTCTGCATTGCATTACAGGCCTTTTGGAGGGGTCTTTGCATGGGTCCAGGCAGAGGGGGACTTTGCAGGTATTGCAGGGGGTGCGGCGACGCCCTGGGAAGCGTGCAGGGAGCGGGGTTACCACTTGTTCGGGAAGAGCTGGTTCGCTAAACCACTTTTTCCCAGTGGATGGAGAGGGTCCAGGGATGAAAGGGGGCGCGGCCATGCGCAGGAGCACTCATTTACCAAGGAAGTCATGCGAGCGCATCCCGTTGCCGCTCTTCCCTTCGTCCCTGCATGTCCTCCCTGCCCCTCCTCTCTGTCTGCCTGGGCTCATGTCCGCATCTGTGTCCGTATCGCTGCCTGTCTCCGCCGTGTCTCTGTCTCTGTCTCAGTCTTTGTCTTTGCCTCTGTCTCTGCCTTTGTCTCTTTTCTGCCTTTGTCTCCTTCCCTGTCTGTCTGTCTGTCTGTCTGCCTGCCTGCCTGCCTGCCTGCCTGCCTGCCTGCCTGCCTGCCTGTCTGTCTGTCTGTCTGTCTGTCTCGCTCTCTCTCTCTCTCTGTCTCCTCCACTGTCTTTTACCAGTGCCACCCTCTTCTCCCTACCCCTTCCGCCACGCTCTGGGACATTTTTGGAGGTATGAGCTTACCACGCGCCTATAGGAAGTGGACTCCTGGGTATCTGGGCCTGCGGAAACACGTCGTCTGCAGGCGAATGAACTCGAAGTAGAGGGGAGTGCCGTGGTCAGTGGAGGGGAGGAAATTGGTGATGGTCCGCGGCTGACGAGCAGTCCACTCTTTCTCTCTCTGCCTATCTCTCTCTCTCTCTCTTCCTCTCCCTCCCTCTCCCTTGTCCTCCGTGCGGGTCTATCTGGCTCCACGGATCTTCTCATCCAGCCGCGCCTGAAGGCGGGGTCGCAAGGCCGTCGACAATGGGGATCCACTCACGCCGCTACCTGCTCACTCGTGCGGAGGTCTGTGGCGTCCGGGCGCACCTCTAGACGTCGATCCCCAAAGGGCTAAGGCTTCTTGGCTCAATGCGCCACTCGGGGTCGTGAGTGAGAACTGGGCCGTGATGCTGCCGGCCGACCATTCCATGGTGTCCGTCGGTTGTACTTCTGAACAGCCCGACACATTTTCGTGCCTCCAGCAACCGAAGCCATTCGCACAGCCAGGAGCTCCAGGGCCTTCGCTCGTCTCACCGGAGTGCTGGTGCGGCCCCCACTCACGGACTTGATCTTCTTGCCGCTGTGTTGATGCTGTCGGCGGGGTTGGCTGCCAGTCTTATGGGCTGGAGTGCGGGGTCTAGCCGTTCGCGCATCCGCCATCGCTGGAAAAAGATCGTCGACGTCACCTACCATGTGTGCGTCGCCCTCCCAGGGGCGACGCGCGCGCCGGGAAATCTCATAGTAGAAGCTCCGTGGCGGGCGCTTCCTGGCCACACCGCTCGGGAAACGATGCACTGCAATAGGGTTATACTCTATGTTCAGGTCGGGCAGGAGCCTCCGAGGAGGACACATAAGTACTAGTATAAGCTCGTGCATCCCCAGCATCCGTTCCAGTTCTGCAGGAGCAGGACCGCGGGAAGCACAGCAAGGCCTGTGGCGTGGCACGGCTGCAGCCCTCCGTCGTGTTGCACCGCCTGGGAGGCTTCGGGGTCGGAGCCGCTGCGGTCGAATCGTCCCTGGCCGGGGCGGGGGGCACTACGTGCCTTCTGGACGTCCTCGCGTTGTGGCAGCATCACGGCGGGAGGCTTTTGGCCAACTTCAGCCGTTGGAGGCCCCTGCCGGGCCCTGGAACCGTCGGACTACTCGGGATGAGCCGCCCGTGCTTGGGGAGGGGTCCGGAGTTCTGGGGCGCCACGTCGTGAGAAAGCACGACGTCGTGCAGCCTTTTCTCAGCCGAGTGATCTGTGTAGCCTTTTCCGTGCGAGTTGGCTGCAGCATTCCCCGTCGCTCCCCGCGCTCCCGCCGTCGCCCTCGTGGCGCGCGGCCGCGTGTCGAGGCACGCGGGCACGCGGCCTCGGGCGTCCTGTCCTGTCCTCTCTTCCCCTCTCGTCGGATCGACCAGGAAGGGATACCGTCTTTGGGCCGCTTGTAGGCTCTTGGGCTCTCGCGGGGTGGCAGCCTGGAGAACCCTGGTGCCTCACGTGGCCTCCTGAGGCCTCTGCATTGTTTTGTGAAGCCTCCTGGCTCCAGCGGCCTCCTGGAGCTCCACAATTACACAATATGAAAATACTCTCCCACTTCCCCTGATGGCGTCCCGAAGATGGCCGACCCCCCCCCCGCGTACTGTTTTTTTACACAGGATTCCCGGGAAACGGGTTTTCGCCTGCGTTTTTTTCAAAATGCTGCTCTCGCTGAGGCGCCGGCCTCATTTCTGCTCCCGAATCGTTCCGAATCGTGCTCCCGCTGCAGCGTGGGCCTCATTTTCGGATCGGTGTTTGGCCTCCGTCGTTCAGGATGGCGTTCTCGCCCCAGCGCGGGCCTCTTTCTCGCGCGCCCATCCGCCCGCCACCACCGCGCCGCACCACCACCACCACCACCACCACCACCCACCACCACCTACCACCACCACCACCACCAACCACCACCAACATCCACCACCACCACCACCACCACCACAACCACCACCAACACCACCAGCACACCACCACCATCACACCACCACCACCAGCACCACCACCACCACCACCACCAACCACCACCACCACCACCACCACCACCACCACACCCATGCACACACGCACGCACGCACGCACGCGCACCACCACCCACTACGCACGCGCGCGCGGAGCCACAGGTCCGCTACGACACGCGTCCGCGGATACAGAAAATCAGCGCCATGGTAAGGGATGGGAGGGAGGGTAGGACGTCAGATATGACGCGAGCGCACCTAGCTTGCCACACTTCCGCCTCACTCCTGCTCCCCCTTCTACTCCTCTGCTCCCCCCCTCCTCCTCCTCCCTCCTCCTCCTCCTCCTCCTCCTCTTCCTCCTGTTCCTCCTCTTCCTCCTGCTCCTCCCTCCTCTCCTTTTTCCTCCTCCTCCTCCTCCTCCTCCTTCCCTCCGCCTCCCTCCTCCTCCTCCTCCTCACCTCCCTCCTCCTCCCCCTCCTCCTCCTCCTCCTCTTTCTACCCCGCCTCCTCCTCCCTCCTCCTCCTCGTCCCTCCTCCTCGTCCTCGTCCTCTTCCTCGTCCTCGTCCTCCTCCTCCTCCTCCTCCTCCTCCTTCTCCTCCTCCTCCTCCTCCTCCTCCTCCTCCTCTTCCTTCTCCCCCCCATCCTTCGCCTGGTTTCCGCCCTCCCCTGCTCTATCGGCCTTCTGCCCCACCCCGAGTGCTCCCGCGCTCCGCTTTTTTACACTCGGAGCCGCCGTAACTCAGGACCGCGCTCGGGCTCTCCCCGCCCGCGTCCAGAAGGGGGGTGACGTTCAGAGGAGGAGGAGGAGGAGAAAGAGGAGGATGATGAGGATGAGGAGGAGGAGGACCAGTGTAAACCCAAAATTCATCAAGCTCCCTCTTTATAGGCCCCTACAAAGGTTCATTGCTACTGAGGGAACTGCCTCGTTGGAAGACATCCGTTTGAAGATCCTGAAGCATGCCAAAACATTGTTCACGGGATTCCAACGCCACGGATCAACCTGACTGCGCCTTGACGATCCTGAATCGTGTCAGTTCGCCACTCCTGGGCAACACCGCGAGCCAACGTAACTGTTGTTGAAACTCTTGCACATTTAAACGAACGTGCGCGGCGCGAAGGCGAGATCCACATTTTGAAAAGGAACCGCCCTCACTCCGTGAAACCCTTGCTATGTTTCAAACTAATGTACGCGGCGCTAAGGCGAGAGCCACATTTTGAAAACGGGCCGCCCTCCATCTGTGAAACTGTTGTCAATTGTAAGCTGCAGGGCCATATATGGTGAGGAGGTCTCAGGAAAAACGCACGGCCCCCCTAAAAACTGGCTTCGGTGTGCGACAGGGAGAAGTTATTTATAAAGGAAGCGGAATGGATGATGATGATGCTGATGATGATGATGATGATGATGATGATGATGAGGAGGAGGAGGAGGAGGAGGAGGAGGAGGAGGAGGAGGCGGAGGAGGAGGAGGAGGAGGAGGAGGGGAAAATGACGACGACTGAAGCTCCCCTGGGGCCTCCTGGGAGTCTCCCGAGAGCCTCTTGGGGGCCTCTTTGGGGCCTCCTGGGGTCTCTGAGGGGCCTCTTGGGGCTTCTTGGGCCGTCTTAGGGGTCTCTCGGCCTGTCTGACGTCTTGGAAGGCCGTCTTGGAGCCCTCCGGGCTGTCTTGGTGCCCTCTTGGAGCGCTTCAGGGCCGTCTTGGGGCCCTCTTGGGAGCCCCTTGGGCGATCTTTGAACCCTTTTGGACCGACTTGAGGCCCTCTTGGGGGTCTTTCGGGTTGTCCTGGAGCTATCTTGGGGGCCTCTCCGAGGCTTCTTGGGCCGCCTTGTGCGGTCAGAAAGCCGAACAGGCGAGAACCTCAGAATCCTTCAAACACTGTAGGGAAAATCATTGGTCTTGGCTTCCGCGGGCTCTCCAGGAGGCCCTCTTAGAGCCGTCTTGGAGGCCTCCTCTTGGGCTGTCTGGAGGCTGTCTTGAGAGGCTCTTGAGCTGTCTTGGGCCATCTTGGGCCATCTTGGCGTCATCTTGGCTTCCTTGGAATTCGTCCTGGAGGCCATGCGGCTCCCAAGAAGGCCTCAAGACAGATCAACCGGACCCCATGACGGCCAAAGAGGTATCTAAGGGGCCCTTCAGGAGCGCCCGAGGAGGCCAACAGTACCTATGTTCCTCAGGTGTTTGAAGGATTTGAGGTTTGGCATGCTTGGGTTTCCAACGGGCCAAGAGCCCAAGATGTCTCTCTGGGCTGTCTTGTTCCTCTCTTGAAGCTGTTCAGAGCTTTTTTTCAAAGCCGTCTTGTGGCCCTCTTAGGGATCCCCTTCGACGATTGTTTGGTCCTCTCGGGTCGACTTGGGGCTCTCTTGGAGGCCTCTCGGAGGCCTCTTGGGCTGTCTTGGAGCTATCTTGGAGGCCTCGTGAACGCCTCTCGGGCCGTCTTGGGTGGTCGGAAACCCGTACAGGCGATAACCTCAACATCAGTCAAACACGCATGGAACATCAATGGGTTGGGCCCCTCTCGGGCTCTCCAGGAAGGCCTCTCTGGGCCGTCTTGTTGCTCTCCTGAAGCTGTTCAAAGCCGTCTCGTGGCCCTCTTTGGGAGCCCCTCAGGCGATCTTCGGGTCCTCTTGGGTCGTCTTGTGTCCCTCTTGGGAGCCCTTTGGGCTGTCTTGGAGTTATCTTGGGCCGTCTTGGGTGGTCAGAAACCCGAACAGGCGAAAACCTCAAATCCTTTAAACGCTTTGGGACGATCATTGGTTTTGGCCCCTCGGGGGGCTGTCCAGCAAGACCTCCTTGAGCTTCTTGGGCCATCTTGGAAGCCTCTTGTGGTCCTGTTGGGTCGTCTTGAGGGTCTCTTGGCCAGTCTTCAGGTTGTCTTGAGAAGCTCTTGAGCTATCTTTGGCCATCTTGAGCCGCTTTGGTGTCGTCGCGGCTTCCTTGGAAGCGCTTTCGGAGGCCATCTTGGCCGCTTGGAGGCCGAAAAGATCGCCAGACAAACGCAATTTCAGAGTGGGCGTTTTTTTTAGGGTCGTGTGTGTCGAGGGGGAGGGGAGTCGGTCCTAGAAAACAATTATCCTGGCGAAGGACCCAACCACAAGCAATTGTTCGTAACGCGTTGTGGGTGCCGCTTTCGGCGGGGCTCCCTATGGGGCCACGAAGCGCTGCCTTGGGTGGGGGAACCGCATGCGAAAGCAGCCACTGGGGCCTTCGGTGGAGCTCCCTATGGGGCCACGAAACGCTGCCCTGGGCGGGGGAACCGCATGCGAGAGCAGCCACTGGGGCCTTCGGTGGAGCTCCCTATGGGGCCATGGAGCGCTGCCCTGGGTGGGGGAACCGCATGCGAGAGCAGCCACTGGGGCCTTCGGTGGAGCTCCCCATTGGGCCACGAAGCGCTGCCCTGGGTGGGGGAACCGCATGCGAGAGCAGCCACTGGGGCCTTCGGTGGAGCTCCCTATGGGGCCATGGAGCGCTGCCCTGGATGGGGGAACCGCATGCGAGAGCAACCACTGAGGCCTTCGGTGGAGCTCCCTATGGGGCCACGAAACGCTGCCCTGGGTGGGGGAACCGCATGCGAGAGCAGCCACTGGGGCCTTCGGTGGAGCTCCCTATGGGGCCATGGAGCGCTGCCCTGGGTGGGGGAACCGCATGCGAGAGCAGCCACTGAGGCCTTCGGTGGAGCTCCCTATGGGGCTACGAAACGTGTGAGAGGTGTGCCGAGAGCAGAGGCAAGGAGAGGGAGGAGGGAGGAGGGGGAGGAGGAAGGAAGGAGGGGAGACGCGGGGCGCTGTCTCTTCAAAACGAGGACCCAACACCACAGGATGGTTGGGAAAAACAACACCCAGACAGCAAGCACGCATTCCAGCACGCCCACTCCGTGCAGGCACGGCGGCGGACAGGACTGCTTCTTCGCAGAACGAAGGAGACCGGCACGTCTATTGCCATGACGCAATGATGGGGTCGTCCGACCGTCGTGGCACTGTCGGTACTGGTGCCTGCGCTTCGATCTTCCGCCCCCCACCCGTTGACCCCCGCCCCTGGCCGCGAAGGATGCCCCCGGCACGGGGCGCAGCGGCGGTCAGGGCAGCAGCCGCAACCGTTCGAACGAGGCGGGCCTCCTCTTGCCCTATCCGTCCTCCTCCTCCCTCCTCCTGCTCCCCCCCTCTGACCCTCCCCACGAGGAAGCTTTGAGGCGCCCAGCCCTGTCCAGCCGCTTCGCCCAGGCATTCACGGAAGAAGTGAGGGCTCACGTTGAGAGGCATCCACGGGCCGGGGCCAGGAGCCGTTTGAGGAATCGCGGCTTGCTCGTCGGTCGTACCTGACAAGACCCTGCCCAGTAGGCGCACGCGGATCTTACAATGTGCACTCGAATTGATGAATCAGCCTGATGCAGTGTCGCGCTGAGGGTAGGTCAAATCAAGGCATGAACGAGTGGCGGGGGATACACAAACTGTTCCGCCGGCCGGACGAAAAGGATAAGGCACAATGGTTTGGTGATGTCTTTCGTGTTGTGTCTTGGGGCGATCTCGGCTGTGACAAGGAAGCCGATGACACTGGATGACTCCTGCGCCAGGAACCTGGCCGGCATGCTCAGGGGCGTGCGATACCTTTAGACACCTTGTGCAAGCCGCCGCTCGGAGTGCCTCCCTCTGCGGCACTGTGCGACTTCACACGGCACGAGGTGAGCGGTACACTTCGGATCGGGAGTTGAGGCATACAGTCAACCCCCATAGTAAGGAGGGGCAACCTTTCCAAGGGTACATCCTTGCCTCCTCGTTCCATCTTTGGCCACTTTCGCTGGCCGCGCCCCGCTCGCAAGGTGTCGACATGGCCTTCCAAGGCCCTTGTAT